TGAAAAGCATTAATGGTTAAAAGATGCTCCCATCATGCCACCCACCCCCTAACATGGTCTGCAGCTCAGACAGACGGCTGTGGCCCCTTTCTCTCTCCCTCTCTGTGATGGGAAGTTTTAAACAAGCGAGATGTTAAGTAAGCAGATGACAGCTGCTGAACCAGTGCAGTTGTGCCACACTTTGATGTTGGATCTTAATGGTCGTGTATCGGCTGACGCCAGCAAGGAAAAAAGGCTGGTAGTGCAAGGACTGCTAACTAATCTGACTGCGTGTGCGTGTCTCAATGACACAATGTGTCACACATTTCAGCAACATTTACAACGTGATTTGATTGTCGAATGTTGATTTGAAATACATATGCAAAGGTTTAACCGACGTTTAACCTCAACCGTTTGACTGTGCTCGGTTTATCTTGTGTTTTCATGCGTCCATGGTTGACTAGTCTGCTTTTTTCTCCTGTTCACGAGACTAGTAAACTACTCGCTACTCAACTTTTCACCCTGCCTCTAATTCTGCTCGTGTTCCTTTAACGCCTTCCCCTCCCCCCTCCACTAAAAATCCAGTCTCCTCTCACTAGTGAGCAGGTCCAGCAAAAATGAGATAACACCGAGCTACGTTTGCCTGCAAGCACGAATCATGACACTTGGCAAAGACGTAGAACATGGGCAAGAGGAAAAGAGACAGGATGAACATTTTTAAAACTGCGAAATAGGGCGTTGGCATTGGCCTTGAGTGTCGAGGACACGCCCTAAGACACTTGTAAGTTCTCCGCACGTGCATTATCTGGGGATGCCAGCTTAGTTTAGGTTGCTCTGTAGCATAAAAGGTACAAAGAAAACAACAATTAAACCCGGTCCTTATTCATAAGTCTCCAATCTGTGTTAAAGATTTTCATAATTTCTGATTTGTTCTCAGTATTATCATTTTGACACAGCCCTGGCTTGTGGACACATCAAAGATAGCATTTTGCATGGCTGACGTTAAGAGAGTTTTTTCCTATTGTTATCGGGACACTGCCATCGTAAGTGAATTACAAAGCATAACGTTAAATCATAAATCAGTTTCTTAGACAATGCAACAATTATGATTTTACTCTTGGCGATCTGTGTTGGGTAAAGTACTCAATAAAATAGCGATAGTACAAATCAAAATCCATTTGATTTTATACAGCAAAGTGTACACAATTTGAACACATTCACTTGGGATAAGATTTAAGATCAAGAATATTTGGGGGGGTTTTGTGTTTTGTTTTTTAGATGGATGCTGAAAGTGATTGTGCTTTAAAAATGGGCATGAAATCACTTAAAACCTATCTAGGCAACGTAGGTTTAAAAGAAAAAAAACTTCCAAAGCTGATGCACTTATGACACTCTGGATGTCATGTAAAGTAACTTTCACAAAGCCGTTATGTAAATATGTTGCAGGGTGATGTTATTAAGTTACAAAAAAGAAGAAAAAAAAAGACTGAACTGGCCAATAAGGCTTTTTGCCAGTTCAGAAGCAGCATGTTTTTCCTAGTGAGAGGGAATAACTGCCTTATAAGTAGACTTGGCTGAGTTTTTTTTTGTTCATGCACAAAAAAAAAACAAAACCCCAACCTTTAAAACACACTAACGCAAAGCGAACGTTTTGCAAAGCCCAATGAGAGCACTTGAAGTGTGAAGGTACAGAAAAATGTCTTAAACTAGAGTCAGGAGGACAGTGACAAAAGCATAAGAAAGCCAAAGGGAAAAAAAAAAAGTTTATGTTGTGTAGTTTTAGCCTGAGTGTTTTGCTGTGCAGCACAGTGCACAGAGAACTGCCCCCCTTTTCACTGTAACTATAAAAAAAACAAGTGGTAACTGAGCAGACACAAATATCAGGGTGCTCTGCTCTGCGGATGTATTTTTATACATGAACGTTAGACACTCAATCGCCCAGTTCAAGAGATTAATTTAGTGCAACATTATCGAGAAAACACAGCTTGGTTATCTGTCAGACATTTCCCCTCTGCCTGTGAAGGACTAAGCTAAAGGGACATAGCATGAGCTACAGCTCCACCCCTAACCCACGCTACTGCCCAGCTCCAGAATAAAAACTCACTCCAGTTGCAAGCCTCTAGCTCCTCCTGTGGTCGGTCATGTCTGCCATCTCCACTGCCTATGTCCCCTAGACAGGGTCCAGCTCGATGAAACAGCCTTCCTGCCAGCTTGTGAATTACAGACATCACACAATGCTGGAGGGAAGCCAGCTGATGTCCCGTGTAGACTTTTAAAAACTGCTGTACGTCCCGATATTTTACCAAGGAGGAATTCCACAAAAATGCTCAACTAACGTCGTCTTAAAGGCCCAAACTTTAAGCTATCCTTGTATGGCTGTTTAGTCTATAGAGCAGAAGAGGCGATGACCAACTGTGCAGAGCCTGGGCTGGAACTTCCTTGCTCCTTCACTTCCTACTGCTGTTCACTTGTCTGTCCGCCCTGCTTCTTCCTGTGGGTCAGCTCTGCACAGCAGTTCAGTGTCTCACTTGCCTGCCCAGCCTGGAAAGTTCGGACGCGACACGTGTTAAACACCTGGACCAGCTCTCAACACTGTCCTTCCATTTTACGTAGGAAACAAAGGCGGCTGCCATGTTGCCCTTAATCTCTAGCTGCTCTATGGAAAATGATGCTTCTGGGTGTGGCCTTTCAACCCCTTGCCTGCACCTGTCTCTGTAGATCAGACTGATAAAGATGTGAAGTATGACAAAGTATGAAAAGACCTTCCGGCAGCAGTGCCTCCTCTGTCAATGTTTTTAACCTACTAATCCGTCAGTTTCCTTTACGTCTACAACCCTGAGGAAAAAAAAATTAAAAATCTTTGAGCCAGGGCTCTTGAAAGCCTTGGCCTTGTTACATGGGTAACAGTACAGTAGAGAGCCTAGAGGCCATTCTTCACACTTACTCTCTACCAGCAGCAAGGAGCTGACATTCATTTAACAGGTACCCGTTCAGACTTTGCACACTTGAGTGTCATTTATGGTGTTATGGAAACATAAAACAGTGTCCTCTCAAAACTTTTCTGCAACCCTGTGATCCAGACTATGAAAAAGGAACTTCAAATGTTTTGACTGAGTTATTTTCATAAGAAATTAAGTCGTTTTTAAAAATACTTATTATTGTATATGATTAACATTTCTTTGGGGGGTTTTATTCTACTTTTGTTGAAGAACTTTTTTATAAAAACAACAACAACAACAACAACAACAAATATATACTAGACAAAAACAAACAAATAAGATGGTCCAAGATCACCTCTTTCTCCACATTACACAGACTCCGTGACGCATACAAGTGCCCTTGTTCTAAATGCCGCTCATCACATGTTGTTCAAGAGACTCCTCAACTCCCAACTTGGTGCCTGCAGACAAATTGCCCTCATGCATCATATGACCCTGTCCTGGTGGCATTATTTTCCTCCCTCCACTGATAACAGTTATTTTTGCTCTATGAGAGTCACTGCATTAAGATCTCACTCATCACTTAATGTAAACATCCTAATGTAAACATAACCTCCTAAGACCCGAACTCTTCCACGGCATGCATTTTTAATTTCTCTTTGATATTTGGGCATTTTTTAAACCTTATTTTTGTTTTTAAGAAAAATAAGAGCCATATATGAGGATATTCATTTAAAAATTTGATAGAACAGTAGCAGTATAATGTACTCGTAAGTGGATATCAGGCCCATGTAGAGCAAAATTGAGTATTTTGGTCTAAATAACCCAAAATATGATGTCCACATATGTGGACGACAGGTCCTAGGAGGTTAATGTAAACATCCAAAGTAGTATGTGCATCTCTCCTCTGGCTTCAAAAACAGAGAAGAAAGTTTTATTTTTCTGAAGCGATTCTAAGAAGTGCACAAGAAAGCAGCTGCACAGTGGGCTTTGTGTTTGCGGTGTTATTGTCGGCTTTCATGACCTGATGTGAAGACCTAAAAAACACAAACCGCAAGGAAACCTATGACTGTTGTATGAGGCCAATTGTTTTCATCTTCACTGGTAACTCTGAATATAACCTCGGGCTCGCAGTCACGAGCTTTCCCACAGGATGAGCAGAGAAAATGAATAACATCCCCTGCTGTTCCGATGAGATGACCGTGGCCTCACAGTAAAACAACTTTGGCTGAAAGTGTATGACAGTGTATGAGGTGAATGACCACGGGTGGGTGTCCTTCGTGGGTCTAGGTTGACAAACACTTCTTCATATTAGAGAAAATCCGTTGCAGCATTTTAATGTGGTCTCATTATGGATGCACTGTAGGGATGCTAGGTTGTATACTCCATATGTACCTGTCATTATGGGAAACAGGAAATGACTATAGCAAAACGATCTAAGGGGCAGACGGCATGATCGGGCTAGCTGCTTCAACTTAGAGGTAAAGGGTACAACTCACCGCTCTCCATCTCATTGCCCTTCTTTGCTGTGGGCGTGTTGCCCATGATGGCAGGCTGATGGTGGAGTCCCTTGGCTCGGAATCAGTTTTCCTTTGCGAGTCACTGAGTATTACACCGTTAACGCAAGTCACTGGACTCAATGAAGCTGACAGCTAGCTACTAGCTGACAGCTATCATTATTGACTAAATGTAAATGTAGATCAAAGCAGTACTCTTCCGTTGTGACTTCAGGGAAACTCAGAAGACTGCCCCAAGCGTTAGCCGCTTTAAGTTAGCTCAGCTTAGCGCGTTAGCTCGCAGAGATAGCCAGCGGATGTCAGCTTGGTAGCGTTAGCTCGTCGATTTCTCCAGCAAGCACGGACAAATCAACTTGTCAATTAGTTGTTATTTATTTCCACAGACGGCTTGGTTTTGTACCAAAAAAAAAAAAAACTCAAGTCCGGGCACAGATCGTCGAAAGCCACTTCCGTCTGTCTAACTAGCAAGCTAAAGTTAGCTTCTGAGCGTTCCTCGCAGTCTGGCCTTAACTAACCAGGTACTCTCTCAGTGTATGCAGGCCTTCTCACTTGAGACCTTTTTAAAAAAAAAAAAAGTCCAGTATAGTCGGGGGTTTTTTAACAATGGCGCTTATCCCACTTGATTTCTCCTCATTCGTTTCCAAAGAAGCCGTCAAGTGCAATGGTTTCCTGGGACCGACCACCTGATAGTCGATTCCTCAGATCAACAGACCCCTTCCATTAATCTTCAGACCGCAAGGGAAACTCCAGTCATCCATCCACCCAGGCCCGCCTTCGCCTGCCTCTGAGTGGCCCCGCGCACAGACAATTACGTGCGAGGCGTAGCTATTCGAGCGCTCATTGGATCAGCATCTACACATTGAATCATTGCATTCATGCGATTCGACTGTCAAGCGACTTCGTCCCGCCTCCCGGACTTGCCAGTAGCTAAAATGCCAATAACAGTTACCGCGTCTTTCGATTTTGACTGCAAATTAACAGCTTTTCTTTATTTATCTGAGAGATTATTGTAGCGAAAGCAAATCAGATGCTTTTGCAATAATCCTCATATTTGCAGTGCAATGTTTTTCGTTTCTGTGGCCTAGCCACCCCCTTTACCATAGCAATCTGTGATTGGGTGTGACGTTAATACATACTATTTTTAGTAAAATGTGAAAATATGAGGGGGATACTCACACTTGTATTTGTGATACTGAGCTTGCAATATGATAAAAGTACAGGTGTGGAATATACTTATAAACCTAGCACTTGTTACCTATATCTAACAAGTGGAGATCGAATCCAAGTAATTATTAGAAACCCACTCATACAGATATAACAAAATCACCGTTCTTTTATTTGGAACACAAAATTACAAAATAAAAGGAGGAAAAAAACATGAAGCGATATAAGCCATACAGTCAAATGGGAAAAGTAAGTGTAAGTGCACTATGAACACAAATATAATGACAGATTATCAAACTGCAATTTAATTGCCTATTGCTTCAGTGCTGAAATCTTCATAAACAGGTACAAGTCCATTGTGCACCAAGAAAGGAAGTAAGGTGGATCATTCAACAGCCTTGTTACGTTTCAGTTCCGTTTTATCGCTTCATATTTGAGGTTTCCTGCAATATTGCTTTCAACACTGGAAAGAACTATCCAACTATAAATAACACTCATTCCAGTCAGACACTCATAATCTTCCTTGGAACAAATGCTTGTTTGAAACCCAGGGTGAGAACTCATGTTTGAGAAGTCTCGGGAAAATAAAGGGCAGCTATAAGGCAGGGATGTGTACACATCCTTTATTCCCACTTGAATGTCCATAGGCATTGTTCAGAAGTAAGGTTTCGGGCTGTGAATCGTCACCTTTTTAGGGCAGGGGTCATCTTTATAAGCAGTCCATAGAGTTATCTGGGAGTACACCCAAAGGTGGGGCCTTGCCAGGGAGACAGGATGGCGGGAGCATGGAGTTTGAAGAAGGATCCACATTTTCAGAGTCTTCCATTCGCTCTGCGCAGCCTTCCCAGTTTATATGGAATCTGGTGACACGTGGGTTTGAAGCTAGAATATTTCTCTGCAGCTGAAAAAGGAAAAACATAAAAATTAATTCTTTGCACAAGTTCTTTAGGAATACCTAACACAGCATCTTTAATAGAATCATTTGGACCACAATTTAAGGCAGTTTTATTTTATCTTCATTGTGTATTTGTGTTATTTCTGCATGTCAGTGTAAATAACATTAATATGACATTAATTAATGTTCATTATACTAGTGTACACTAGTGTAACATTTAAGACCAAGTGTGATATTAGAAGTGTACATGAACATTTAAAAAAAACAAACAACTGTATCTGGCAGCATTTGAAAGTCTTTACCATTTACCCTGACTACTAATTGATTTTCTGTTAGCTCCAACATCAAAACAGGCACACTGCTGGTGTAAATGCATCTGACTCCATGTGCTCTCTAGACTCAGGGCAGGAAAGAGTGAACCCAGTAGTACAAAGGCACAGTGTAGTATTTTTTTTCTTCACAATAGCTAATCACATAAACTCCCACAGGAAACAAGAACTTTGCAACTCTAATCGGAGTAAGCTGTTTAGATATTTTTTTTGCATTTGTAAGTGAAAGGTTTTAATCACAGATGTCAGCCACCTTAAAAATTTGACACCTTCAATCAAAACCCTTTGCTATGACCACAAATCTCACAGTGGCTTATTACTGAAGGAATAAGCCACTGAAGGAATGTCATAATCGAACTTTCACAACACTTTTTGTTCCAAAGTGCAAGCTTTGCTGAATTAAAGGCTTCAACTTCAGGGCTCCAGTAGTGCACCATGCTGCTCCATATGTATGGTAATAGTTGCAAAGCGTATCATATATTTTATTTTATATATCATTTTCAATTAGATATTTGATTAATTTCTGCATTAAAAAAAGTAGGGTTGATCTTTACAATAAAATCCCATTGAAGTTATCTGCAAATACAATGTAACTCTTGCACTAAGCTAATGTAGAACAACAACAAGTCTTCTTTGGCAAATGAGATGGTTCAATTTCGAGTCACTCAAAGTAGATAGTGTTCTTTTAAAATGTTAAAACACTGTCACTTGCTTCACAGGAAGTGTAGTTAGTCCTGTAAGGATCTCCAAAAACTAGACATCTCTTGGGCAGGAAGGGAAAAGATAACCATTAAATGAGTGCAAATGAGCTGGAAATGTAGTCCAGACTGGTCCTACATGGAAGACTCATCAAAAGAAACCTTACCTGCAAACTTGTCATACAAGTCAGTATTTGACCTATGCAAAGAAACACCACACTTGTTTTGGAAACAACTGCTGTGGACATATTCATATTGAGCTTTATGGTAGCAAAGATATGTCTGTAGCAGTATTTTGTAATGAACAAAACACTATTAAAAATGGGTGTGGAAAAAAAAAAAACTCCTTTAGGATCGTTTTTGCAGCACAGTAAATATTTCAGGAAATGGAGGAAATAATCGTAACAAAGAATCAGCAAAATCGTATTCAAAATGCGATTCAGGTTTAGAAAATAAAGGTTAAATGAGGCCAGCCTTTACAAAGTATACCAAAGCCTACCTATTTGAAGTAATGAAAATCCAGTTTGTGTAAAAAGTCACTCTCCACTGACTTGAGCATTATCCAAAATATCTATGTAGATGTTAAACATTTTCTGTGTATAAAATAAACATCTGTGATTGACACAAGAGCAGGTGAAAACGCCAAAATGAAATCAGTACTGCTGTAGTATGCTTCTTGTAAACATTGGCACATTACCTCTGCAATAATTATGAAATAGTTTCCATTTTTGGAAATTCAATAATTAATAGTAAATTTTCATTTAATAACATCTGAAGAACTAGTCATTTTTGTTTATTTCTTCTTTCAATTACAACAAAAAATGTTGTAATTTCTGAGTGGTACCAAAAGACTTCAATATAACTGAGCGATGGTCTGCCTCCAGTGCATGCGTCACAACGAGTGATGCATTTCTCATCAAAATTTTCAACTGTCAACCTAACAGGCCAGTGAAATTCAGATTTATTTCCAAAAAGGACTAATTTTAGATTCTCAGGGTACTTAGGTCTACTTCAAATAGCCAAATAACCTGTGGTGGTTTTTAATTTGACTGCAATTATAAATGTTCAGTGGAAATAGGCCTTTACGGTGTAATTTACACCAATAACATTCAAAATAGACAGCCGTGGTAGCATTGCATCTCAGAAATCAGTCATGATCCTAACCTGTGTGTAGTCTGGCTTGATTGGAGGATTTTCACGCAGCTCTGGGTCTGTGTATTCGTTGTTCACATAGTAACCAATGCGAATGAACTCTTGGCTGCGGTACGTGCAGGTAATGAGCACTACTGTAACACCAACTGCATCGCTTTCAGGAATCAATCCAGTGTTTGGGGCATCCGCCTGATAAACAAGCAAGCAAACAAACAACAACAAAAAGCTATTAATATATGTGGAGCTCCACTGCTGTTGTGATTTGGTCAGATTAGTCACAAATAGTGCCTACTTTTTCTGAGTGTCAATTAATTATACCTGAAACACAAACATGTGTCTCCCAGCAGGTACTGGGCCAACCAGCACCGAGTCGAGGATTTGGTCGTACTCTTCACTCTCTGCTGAGCCGACATAGATGATCTTCCACTCCAGGTCTATAAACAGGAAATATTACAATAGAGTGCTTCATTAGAAAATTTTGATGTGACAAAAACATTATTTTTTTGTCAAAAAATGAGCCTGTTAAGCAAAGAACTGATCAGCTGATGAACAGATGTAAACATGTAGGTTAATGTGCACAATGGTTTTTAATATTTCAAAAGCTTTATAAATTCAGTTTGGTTGTGTGCTCGTACAAAGAATCTGTCCACATAAAGTTACACAAACAAATGCAAAAAAACAAAACAACATTTTAGATTTCCATCCTTGAATAGAGCTATATTTTGTTTACATTTTTACGCACAAACATTAAAACGTTGGCTAATTAGCACTGAACTTGTTTTTTTATCCCTTAATGGAAATAATAAGATTGCTTTACCATATTCATAAGTACCACAGGACGTGCGAGAAGCGTCCACTCTCCTTGTTATGGCTTTAAGCCATGCTATTATGCAACTTTAATGTTATCTTTAAGCAACGTTACCCTTTACACTTCAACAAAAAGTAGTTAGCTACTACAGCTAATACTGTGTAGCTGTTAGCAGACTTATGTTGTAGCTTCACACAAGCGATAATGACAGCTGTTATGCAATGGTACCAACCTTCAGCAAGGTCCTCCATACACTCAAAGGTTATTTCAAACTGAAAGGGGTTTCCGAAAGGACTCGGGTTGTCTAGGACAGCCACATTCAACACCTGTACCTTCGCCATATTTTCTGGAGCGGTAAGAAGGGGCAGTTTCCCGGGGAAACCTTAAAAAGCAACACTCTCGCAACACAAGCGGTTACCACAATTATTATGGATCACACACCTGTGCTTTCACGAAACGCAGGCCTTACTTATAGGACTAGGCTCACACTACTCACCAAAACAATATTTCTATCATTCAATTGCTCATAAATCTGGGAATAAATTGCCGCTCTCCCGCCGCTTTGACTGTATTACCCAGGTTTCAGCGCGTCTACGGCAAGCTGTACACGCGTATGATGGAAACAGAGGAAAAGGGTGGCCTCGATCAAAAGGAAGGAAAAGTGCCTCTACTGACCCCTAGTTGCACAACTACCAAAGCCCGAACCCACAATAAACAAGCTACAGATTGATTATTGTTGTAATTATTTCAACCACAAACAAAGTAAATCAGGCTGGAAGTATTTCTGTAACGTGGCCTCAAGCTCTGATGTACCAACTCAGTGCCTGAGGCGTTTTATTGGTGCTGTTAATGACTGCAGTTCATCATAAATGCTTGGGCAGGGAGGTGATGAAATTATCTAAAGTATCTAAACTTTATGGAGTCACACCCAGGATTGAGGAGTAGTGAGTTCGTGCCATTAAACTAACAGATTAAGTACATTTTGCAGGGTTTCATCTGCACCTATACCAGGTACCAGCATAGTGATTAAAGTGTTATGTTTGAAACCCCTTTGAATGCAGAGAAAATCTAAATTTCTAAAATCTAAATTATCCCCAGGTAGATTCTTTTAAGGACAGGTTTATAGCTACAGAGAAACAGGGTCTTCAGTTCACTGGTGAAAAACATGAAATCTAGCTCTAATTTTTAAGCTTTGAATCTGAACTCGTAAAACTTGAATATGTGAGGTGTAGTCAGAAGTCAGAACTATATACTATATATTCACACATTTTAAATAAGCTGTTGCATGCAGAATTTTAGAATGCCACAAAGCAATACTCGAATACTCCCACTTGGCCCATACAAAATATTTAATTTTTTTAATAAAACAAAATTCACTGACATTTTTGCTGGCATGCAACTTTTTTTCCAGCTTGCAACCCCAATCCTGAAAAGGATAAAAACAGAATGCAATTGCAAATACTTAAATTGAGAAAATGTAGCATTTTAAGAACGATATTAGCTCATTTTGAGTTTGATAGCAGCAATATTTCTCAAAAGAAGTGGTACAGGGCCATGTTTACCCATATGCAGCAAACCCCTTATTTTAACAACAGTCCATAAACATCTGGAAACTGAGAAGACCAGCTGCTAGAATTTGGGGAGACGAATGTTCAGCAGTCCTGAGTCTTCTTTGTACTCTTTGTAGTTCAATTTGGGTTTTTGTGTTTGAATTGTTTTTGTTTTGTTTTGTTTTGCGTCTGTCCATTTCCATGACCTTTGACCCCGAGAAATATTTCTGGATCTTGTTCACATGTGGTGTCTTTTTTCCATGATAGAGCTTTAACCTTCATTTCTGGATGGTAAACTGTGGTCATGGCCATACCATGTTGAAGTGTTCCTGAGGCCATTCAGTGACTTCCATGATAGCAACATGCCTGATAGAAACATTTTAATATAGTGACACCCGAGGGCACAAACATTAGAGTTTTTCTGTTTTTTTCAGAGATTTCTCCAGATTCTCAGACTCTTCTGATGATGTTATGTACCGTAGGTGGTGAGATATTCCAAGCCTTTAGGATTTGACATTGAGGAACATTATTCTGACATTGTTCAATTATTGTTTTTTGATTTTTTGCAGATGGTTAAACCATCTGCCCATCTTTACTTCCGTGAAACTTTTTATACCCAGATTTGTTCCTGACCTGTTGACAGTTAACATAATTAGCTTTTTTGTTGTCCCCTTCCCAACTTGTGTGAGAGGTGTTGTTGCCATTAAAGTCAAAATAAGTTAACATTTTTCTTAAAATGGTTCATTGCACGTGATATGTTTTATGTTCTGCTGTGAATAAAATACACATCATTGCATGCTTTTTTTTCTTTACATTTTACACAACGTCCTGACTTTTTCAAAACTAGTGTTTTAGTTTAATATTTCAAGATTTATCTTCTTGAAATATGGTAGAGATATATATAGACATAAGGGTGCACATTAATATAGATTGAAATAATAAAGACATTGCCTGCATGGCAGTATATGTTGCTCTAAAACCTCTGTATACCTTTCTGCATGTGTAAGCTTCCAATTCCAGTGGCATGAATGAACCTCCACACTATCAGACATGCAGGTTTTTGAACTGAGCGCTGATAACAAGTCAGATAAATATATAAATCTCCTTGACATTTTTACATTCTGTTATAGCATATTAACTTCCAGTACGTGGCAGTTTCATGTCTTCGCAGCAGTTTCACCAACACTGATTCCAGCCCAGAAAACATGGCCAAGTGCAACATTTAGACAGATGTTAAATCAAATACGTTGCTCTAAAAACAGTGTGCCTTTTAAAATCATCATTGAATTGCTTCTCTCTTGCAGTTTTATTATATATGTTATTTATTACTGGGCTGTCACTGTAGGTATTTATAGCAGCTTACATAAACTATTAGCCTAATGAACTTGCTTACAGAAGCTTTCTTTAGTAAAATAAACTTCCTGATAAAACTAACAGTGAAATATATAACAGTGACTCCAATAAAAAGATACTGTTTTACACGTAATGCTCATTTATTGGACAACAAACACACACACACACAAAAAAGTGCTTGTTGCACCCTTTAGTGGTCACTACTAAATAAGTAGAAAACAAGACACCAGAAGAGCTATTTGTTCTTAATGTTTCTTCTACCGCCATATCTGGTTTGCAATCAGCCTAATGTCCAACCAAATTGTTAACGCAAATAATCTAATCAGTCAGTTAGCTCAGTGCATTTGACTTTGAACATGGCAAGCCTTGCTGCCAGCTTCTGAGAGTTTCAAAAACTGTTGATATGCTGGGATTTTTCTGCCCAACCACCTCTAGAGTTTACAGAGAATGGTCTCCAAAACAGAAACTATTGAATGATGAGAGACTTCTTTAATCTCAAGCTGAGTCTCAGGGATAAAATGCCTAGTTGTTACCAAAGGTCAGAGGAGAACAGCCAGTCTGTTTCCAGCTGATGGGAACAGTCACTCAAATAGCCACCTGTTACTTGCTGAGACTGTGATTCACTCAGGCTCACCTAAATTGGATTCGATGAGTCTTGATTTCTGGTGAGACATTCAGATGGGTCACAATGTGATGTGAAAAACATGAAAGAACCATATTAGCAGTTCAGGATGTCATGGTTGTGGGGGATATTTTCTTGGCACAGTTTAGGCCCCTTTGTGCCAACTGCAGCATCGTTTAACTACCACAGCCTACCTCAGTTTTATTACTGACCATGTCCATCCCTTTATGACCCTTGTTACGGCCCTAGCAGGGCCTCTTCTTGAAATTTCCCTTGTGTGGGTGTGGCCTTCTCTCTCCGCCTCCTCCTCTTTTGTTCCTCCCACCCTTCTGTCTCTTTTTCACTCCCCCCTCTTGCCATGATGCACCTGCTGTTTATTACCCCGTTTGGCACCTGGACCCAGTCAGCAATCACTTTATTATATAGATTAGGCTGGGGAAGAACTGTGTGATGCAAGTGGTTTTTCCCTATGGCTCTACATTGTCTTTTTAGATGTTGGAAAGGTCCCAATGCGTGTTTGTCCTACCCGTGGTTTTAAGTTGAGTGAGTAGATGGGCCTATAGGCCTTGGAAATGTCTCACCGTGGTGAGGAGTTCAGTTGAGTGAGAAGTGGGAAGTGCCTCTTTGTGTTGTGGAGTTTTTTTTTTTAGTTGTTTCCTTTGTTGTTTTTGACCTCTTCTTTTCTTTTTGGCCTTATTGATACAGCGGCGTTGCTGACTCTTTGTGTTAAGATTATTTGCAATAAAACCATATTATATGCTAAACACCTCTGTCTGCTTTCCCTTTCATTCTGTTCTGGACCCATTTGTTACCGGCCACCACACTCGCAACTCGAAGAATTCCTTCGTGGGGACGTAACATGCCAGCAGGAAAACATGCCATGTTCCCAAGTGCAGATCATCTCAAACTGGTTGCTGGAACATGATAATGAGTTCACTGTACAGGAATGCCGTCTACAGATTCAACAGATCTCAATATCTCAATAGACCACTGGGATGAGGTGGGTTTGTGACTCAGTGCCACAAAGAATTAAGAAGGCCCAATCCTGTACTAGCAAAGTGTACCTAATAAAGTGCCCAGTGAGTGTATGTGCATGAATAGACAGGGTTATGCCAGTAGTTAACTTTCTCATGCCTTATCTGTCCTTTCTTTAATAGATAAAACACTCTGAATCACATGTCAAACTGTGGTTACTGAACGTTATATTACTGAAACACTGTTGCAGATATTAGGCTACATACAAAATAGCAGGGGGCACCTCCTCAATGTGAGTCACTGCTGTACTATAAGAGTAATTTTCCACAGCAGGTCTGTGCTTTTCAGAAAACGCTTCAGTGCTCTTACAGAGTGTCCACACGAAACTCTGACTAGCACAGATTAGGCCCGAAGCAGACTACATTTTCTGTGCCCCTCTTAGTCTGAAAGGAGAGATTAGGAGAGGATTAGAGCCCACTGGACCAGCTGGCCTCCAAATTCATCCTTAAAATATCTCAGGAATGTCGATATCCTTTCTCCTGACGGGAACCGTGAAACCTGACGGAGGCGCTGTTTCATGCAACGCCATCAGCAGGTTGCTGCTGTAGGTAAGAGCTTCACAGGGAGTAAAACTACGGCTAAAGTTGTGCAGATTGGAGCAAATAAGGCAAACCTGGCATCTTGTTATTATTATCATTATCGTTAATTTTTTAGAAACTGAATGAACTTTGGAAGGAATTTCTGAATATAAATATTATTACATAAAGGTGATTAAAAGCTTTAAGGTGTGATTTTTTTATTTTTTATTTTTTTCCTGATGGAAACAGGATAGATCGGCGCTGCTCTGCTTTAGCAAAGTGCGCATTTTATTCTACTTTGTACGCACAAAGGAGGTTCTGTTCGCCCCGCTGCAGGTAGATAACTGTGCTCAGGTATTGTAACTCGAAACTCAACCACGTGACCAATGGCGAAGTGAGGAGTAGACGAGGGGAAAAAAAAGAGCTTTAGATGAAAGACCAACTCATAGGACAGCCGAGGATGTAGTCTCGGGTACTTCAGGTAGGCTTGTTCTGATAGAAGTCGGCTGAGGATGTTACCTGTACTTTTCACCCGA